ATTTATCTTGATATTCTACTTAACGATACTTTCATAGTGAACACCATTATTTTTCAGACCCTGTATGAAAACTGAGTGAGTCATCTTCTCCAAATATTGAAACACTTTCCGCACGTACCACTGGTACGTTCTTTTGTCACTAGGTCACTGTGTCAAACTGGGTCAGAGTGCCCCGCACAAGTTAAAGAGTGCATCGATATTTGGACAAGGTTATGCTCATTTCTTTGAGTGACCACTTTTGATGGCATCGCACCTTTTGGCCACCTCCTGGGGGAGAGGACGATGGTTCGTGACGCTGCTGGAGGGAGTGGATGGTGGACAACAGACGCTCCACGTAGCCCTGGCGTTCCTCGTGGTACGCTCGCCATTGGCCGTTCAAACGTCCTGCCTGAAATGCGGACCGGTATGTTCAATAACCTTCCGAAATGCATGTGCAAACCTTATGGAAAACCGTGCAACTATAAAATGACTGGATAGCAGCTGCTTGCATTCTTGAACCTTGTCAACTCTGAGGTATAATAGATAATAATTTTGGTAGTTTAAGTTGATGCGCTAATTAGAAAAACTTACATTAAGGTTCCTTCATGGGACTGCCCGTTCAAACATCCGGTAGGCGAAATAATATTCAGATATGCACATGCAAACCTTATGGCTCATTATATTTTCAATCAACGTTGAAAACCCGGAAATTTATTTCGTTTTCGTTGCCCTGTCTTAATTCATGTTCTTTCAGCGAAAGGTGCTAAGATTTTTCGGAAAGAATATTAAATTATTTTATATTTTTGGAACTTTATATAAGATACTTCAAGCGTAAGAGGTAGATAACAAGAAAATAATTTTAGCAGATTTTGTTTTAAGCTGATAATCCATCTTGAATGCATTTATCCTTAAAATAAATTAAAATTCATACTTTATATTTCAATATCTCGAGAGTTATTTTGAAACTAGAGACCAAAGTTGCAGAAAAATATTCAACGGAGGTGTCGTATGGACTTCGTATGGTACATAAATTAATATTAACTCGATGGACAAAGCTTTACCGGTATAAGGCCGGTAAAGACTAAGGCTTTACCAAAGCTTTACCGGTAAAGAATTAATGCCCGAGAACTTGTGATACTCGTACATTTATGTGTCTTACCTCCTTGAGAGATGCCTTGAGCTGCTTGTTCTCCTCCTGGAGAGCGCTAAGTTCTCGCTCTATAAAAGACGGAGTTCTCTTTTTCAAGCCCTGAAATGCACCACCCTTGCCTCCCTTGAAGGGGTTTTCAACGATAGTTTCTGTGCCGTCGATGTTCCAGGGCGTGGAGTCGGTGGAGCAGAGGGAATCGCTGGGGCTGTTTGCCGCATCAGGGGAAACAAAACGGGAAATAATTTTTGGTGGAAGCACGGCGTCTTTAACAGGATCTGTTGAAGGCTCAGGTCGAGTGAGGGTGGATATTGGAATGGATCCGTTTATTGCAGTTAATTCTTGGTTACTCGATGACCGACTTACGCTCGAACTTGTGGGACTCAAAGAAGACTCAGCAAAAATATTTCCCGAATTGTTGCAGTCGCCATTGATCGCTGAACTGGTCATTTTATTTGAAACTTTTGACGCTTCGTCGGCGTATCCATTGATCGACGTGGCAGGAAATGAAGTGTTTTTCAAATTTATGAAATTAGGTCTTACCTTCTTAGCTAAAGGTTTGTTTGTAAGGATCGTAGATGAAGTATCTGACGTGGATTCAATCGTTTCTCCAGGTAATGGTGATGGTTTAGCGTCGCGATGATTATGGCTGCTGCTGCCGTTTAGGAGTGCATATTTACCATCTTCTTGGTCTTCGGGTAATTTCTGATGCATTTTTCCCACCATAAATCAAGCCTATTTGGAATAAAGCATGTAATACTGGATGTTAACAATGATTTTCATAAGAAATGCATCTGATTTAATTTCTTGATTTGTGATTGTAATTTTGAAATTGGAAATTCAGCGGGTTACAATGGCGTCAGCAGTTTACTGATGAACATTATTAGGTTATTTCTGCACGTTCACACAAGATAAAATTTTATGTTGAATAAAGAACAAAGGAGGCGAGTCCTCTTGACATCTGGAGTAAACGAAGAAATAGTCAATCTGAATATGATCGCTGTAAAATTAAATGAAAATCCCGAGAGCCCAATTTCAATTCACGCTATATTTATTTCTAGGTGTCGATGAAATTATACATTAAATTTATACAGGTTGTCAACAAATTATAATTCCGAAGAAAATAAACATTTGGGAAATAACAAAAATTTTCACTCCACAGAAAATAAAATAGAATAAGGGTTGAAATATTGATAAAAAAAGATTAATTAATTTGGAATGTTATTGAATTAGCCTAGATTAGGCTGAAATTGGACTTGAGAAGAGAAATTTTCCCATCACTTGTCTCGTACAGAGTATAAATATTCTTTAACGACATAAAAGAACATTATTTCCTTTTTTGAAAAATTATGACTGTTTTAGCGACGCCAGATTCTTTACTGTACCATTTTAAATGGTAGAGGTTGTTCTGCGCCTAAAGAAACATGCTTATTCCTGTACACGTCATTAGTCAATTTGTTTTCTATAATTGAAGTCAATGCGGTGTAAAAGATGAATGTTTTCAATGCTAAAATTAGATTTCCTACAACTGCCCGCGACCGCTCTTCATCTGTCATCCGACTGTCACTGAGAGAAGGAGACCTTATCACATGTGCTAATGTAAGGCAGCTGTAAATGGTACAGCTACTGTGAAATGTGGCAGCTGTAAACGAGTACAGCTACTGTGAAATGTGGCAGCTGCACACGAGTACATCTGCAATTAATTGCGGCAGCGGTAAATAGACTACTACTGTGAAATGTGGCAGCTGTAAACGAGTACAGCTACTGTGAAATGTGGCAGCTGTAAATGAGTACAGCTACTGTGAAATGTGGCAGCTGTAAACGAGTACAGCTACTGTGAAATGTGGCAGCTGTAAACGAGTACATCTGCATACTGTGAAATGTGGCAGCTGTAAATGAGTACAGCTACTGTGAAATGTGGCAGCTGTAAACGAGTACAGCTACTGTGAAATGTGGCAGCTGTAAACGAGTACATCTGCAATGAAATGTGGCAGCTGTAAACAATACATCTGCAATGAATTGCGGCAGCTGTAAATAGGCTGCTACTGTGAAATGTGGCAGTTGTAAACTCGTACTGTTACTGTAAAATGTGGCAGCTGTAGACGAGTACAGCTACTGTGAAATGTGGCAACTGTGAACAGTTCATCTGCAATGAAATGTGGCAGCTGTAAACGAGTACTGCTACTGTGAAATGTGGCAGCTGTAAACGAGAACTGCATGTATGTAGCTGCAAATGTGAGCTGTGCTGCGGCTGTACGAACAGAACGTGTTGCGCAGCCAATGTCGATGTGTAGATATTTTGTGTCGGAAGTGTGAATGCAGCGTAGACCGTGTAAACTTGTATTACTAGAGTATGACACTGAGATACCTATACATGTGCTATGCTAGAGTGTTAGCGTGTTAGCGTTGTTTATTTGTGTGCTGTTTCGCAATAGTCGCCTTATATGTGTACTATGTAAGTGTTTTGCGACTGTAGGAATGCATAAGCTTTCTGCACAGGCACCGAGTGTCATGCTTCAACTTTAATATATCTCTATATAACAATGAATAAAAATATCAAACGATCCAAGATGGATCACAGGCTTGAGATTTTTCATTTCCTTAGAATGAAGCACCAATTATTGTTCATACTGCAGCTTAGTTTCGAGGCTTTCAAAAATGCAAACATTATTTATCAAACATTATTTTTCAAACATGCAAACATTATTTTTCAAACATGCAAACATTATTTTTCATTTCATAAGATTGAAGCACCGATTATTGCTCATACTGCAGCTTAGTTTCAAGGCTTTCAAAAATGCAAGCATTATTGATCAAACATTATTTTTCAAACATGCAAATATTATTTTTCATTTCATAAGATTGAAGCACCGATTATTGCTCAAACTGCAGATTAGTTTCAAGGCGTTCAAACATGCAAACATTATTTATCAAACATTATTTTCCAAACATGCAAACATTATTTTTCAAACATGCAAACATTATTTTTCATTTCATAAGATTGCAGCACTGATTATTGCTCAAACTATAGATTAGTTTAAGGGCTTTCAAACTTGCAAGCCGCGTTCACATGAGAACTGCGAATGTCGTGACGTAGCACATGAGTCACAGCGAGGGCAACCTGATACAACTATTCTCAGCTCAGATACCTGACCCTACGGCACCCCCCGCCCCTACAGCCCAGTTATTTGCAACGCTTCTCTCTTGACGACTGAACACGAGAAATTAGAGTTGTTATTTTCCATATAATGGTATTTTAATGCCTCTATTTACATATACGTGCCTTAATTTATGTTTATATTTATGAACAACAGACCAGCATACTCAGGTATTCTAAGCTTAATATTAAAATCATCCGTTACTGTAAATGAGTCTGGATTTGTTTATATTACCCTTTTTCGAACAATCAGGATTTTGCACATAACTATTACTTTCCGTAAAATGTGTGGACAAGCCACAGTCAAATTTTATACACATAATTAGCCATATTCGTGACAGATTTCGTGAGTTGTAACATAACTGTTCATTGAGTCTTGCAAGTACATTGAAACGTACACAGTCGTTAAGTACATAAGAAATTTTCGAAGTACATATCTTCCGCAACAGTAGTGATAAGTGTGTCAAGAAATCGCCATGTGCTAAAATCGTAGCAACGCCATTTGCTTCCCTCAAACAACCTCAACTTCCCTCAGTTGGCAGCCGTGCCGACGTGTTCCCTGCTTCCCCGTATCTCCGTTAGCCTTCCTTCCTGCCTTCGGCTTTTCAACACTATCTTCTCACAAGGAGGTATATTTAATGATAAGGGGTCGGCTTCGTCAGTAAAACGTTATTCCTGCTATTTCTTTTTTGTCTTTGGCTGTTCAATACTCATAAGGAGGCATATTTAACAAAAAACGGCTTTACAAGTAAAACGCTATTCCTGTTCTTGTTTTTCCTTTATGTCGTTGGGGGTTCAGCACTCACAAGAAGGTATATTTAATAAAAAAATATAACTCAGTACTCACTGCAGCGAGTGACAGAGAGCGCATTTTCTCGTCGACCGAAACTTGAGGTCACGGACAGACGGACGGACAGACAGACAGGCGGACATGGCGAGCACAATAGTGCATTTTTTTCATAAATGAGAAAATGCGCTAAAAAAGATGGATTTATAAGTAAAACGTTACTCCTGCTATTCCTTTTTGTCTTTGGTTTTCCAACATTCACAAGGAGGAATATTTGATTAAAAAGGTTGGCTCATGTGTAATTAAGCGTAATTCCCGTTATTCCTTCTTCGGCTTTTCAACATTATCATCTCACATGCAGGCATATTCAATACATTGAGGCGTGGCTTCAGATGTAAAATGCGAATTTACACAAATTCAAATACACTGCTGCTTAAAATTCATTCTCGCTCAGCTGCCCAATTCACAAACACATTCGCTCAGCTGCTTAAAATAAATAAATTACTAAATATATTTAATAATGTTATATTCAGTACAATACTGCATTGAATTCATATGTGTTATGGAAAAATTCTTCAAGGAACCGTAAGGCCTTTTGGTTGTCTTACGACACATCTCATATTTAACTATTTTCAAAACTCATTTAGTTTTCAGCCCTTCTGCCACAATGTTCGCTTGTCTATTTACATCAATTAACTTTCGTAGGAATCTTCCTGTTAAAAAGTATAACTCATTACTCACTGCAGTGAGTGACAGAGAGCGCATTTTCTCGTCTTGAAAGAAGATTAGAATAACATTGTCATTGTTAGCATGAGTTTAGCAGTTTCCTGATTTCATCATGCCTCTTGATTAAATAATTATTTAACTTGAAATAATTTAAATTAAATTCTTGATTACATAATAATTTAATCATACCTCTTGGCATGATTTATTTTTAATCTTTAATCATGCCTCTTTTTAGTTTCACCAAACCCAATTCTGAGTTGAAACTAAAATTCCAGATTATTCTTGCAGAACCTAAATTAACGAGCATCCAGAGGATTATTATCGTTAAAAGAATTCCTATTATATGACCTTATGTGAAAGCATCGATCAGAGATGAGGCCGTTACGCATTAGACAAGGAAATTCCCATCTGGGCGGCGCAACAGATGACTCAAGCGGTGACTCAAATACTGAGAGACCCGACCTAAGTCTGCGACGCAAGATCAAGCGCACTCCACGATCCCTAGTAATTAGTTAGTTAGTTAGGGATAGTTTAGTTAGTAGTGATAAGTTAGTTAGTGATAAGTTAGTTAGTTAGGGATAGTTTAGGTAGTAGTGATAAGTTAGTTAGTTAGGGATAGTTTAGGTAGTAGTGATAAGTTAGTTAGTTAGGGATAGTTTAATTAGTAGTGATAAGTTAGTTAGTTAGGGATAGTTTAGTTGGTAGTGATAAGTTAGTTAGTGATAAGTTAGTTAGATAGTTGCCATTCAGACATTTTTGAACAAATTATAACGAAGATTTCAAAAATTTTAGTTATAAATTAATAGTAAAAATAAATTATTAGTGAAGAGTTACTGATTATTTCTTGAAACTTAACGATTCTTTTGGATTTCTTAACTATTGCTAGTCATAGACTAAAAGGGCGATTATGATATTGACTATGAATTCATTCTAATTATTTGACAACAATTATTGAATAATTAGCAATTAATTTAAATGAGTTAACGAGTGTTAATGAGGCATTATCAGCTATTATTGAGAATTCGATAAGTTTTATATATTAGTTAACCATTTTTTATGATAACTTACTTGATAATCGATTTATTCTTATTGATTGCATGAAGATTGCCTATGATAAATTATTATCGATTCCAAAGTATTAATTAACGACAGTCATTTATTGATAATATGTATACTCATTATGAGTTACAGATTGTTAGTGACTAATGATTAATTAATAGTCATTTTGTCAGCTAGTAGAAATAATTCTAACTATATAACTCAATACACGCATTCCAAAAATGATTCTCATATATTTAGTTATAATCATTTGTGACGAATTAACAATTATTATTTACGATTGTGATTCCTTTAGGTTAGGCGACGAATTGAAAGAAATTGGCTGACAATTCATATTGACGAGTTAATGAATATTATTTACTTTATTTTCTATATTATTATTTTATTTTTATTTATGATAATTATTGCTCAGTTTAGGATGATTTTCTTTGTTTTCTATTATAATTAATAGTTGGCTAACTAGTGAATTCAAGATTTCGATCGATGAGTTCACATAGAATAGAATAGAATAGAAGTGTCGGCGTTGAAGACATAGGCCCATGGCCTGTTGCCGATTCTTGAACTTTTCGTGACTTGATTCACAAGGGATCCGGCCTTTGGAACCCGATCTTTCCATAACTGACGATTGATTGAGNAGGTTAGTGGTGCAGGATCTCCCGGCAATAAAGCCATGTTGACAGTCTGATAGGAGATTATTAGCAGTCAAATGATCTATCAATCGATCCCTCACAACAGATTCCATTACCTTGCAAACGACACTTGTCAAACTGACAGGGATTCGGAAAATAATGAAATGCATTTATGATATATTTTCGTTGTGTCAAATAATATGATTCAAACACAAACAGTGACAAACACATATTGTACGATGTCAACTTTCTGTAAAATGTAATTCTGGTCTAGTGGATTTACTTTGAAATCAACGAAAAATTGGTCTAAAGACTCTAAATAATAAATAAACTTAACATATTTCAGCGATTAAATGTCCAACTAAATGCTACAGTTCATTTCGAAACTTATTGAAACTGGATATTTAATCTATTAATAACGTATAAAAATAAATCGATATTTCCAATTCATTTTTGAACATGTATTCCAATGCCACGTAAACAAGTCCACGTTTACGCTAGTCGCCCCTAGCGCTTTAAAAAGTCGACTCGCACACCACGACACTCTCACGACGACTTCCGAGCGGCTACTGCAGCAGTGCGGTTGTTCCTTACGTTTCTGCTGCCGATATATCCACTATTTTTCTTGCTTCTATTCCCTGGCACTCAAATGGCTGAAGCATGGTTGAAATATTTCCGCCATGGGCTGAACCTTTTTCACCGACATCTTTAACTTCGAAAATTATTCAAAATGGTCTCCCTTGAAACTTGCAACGAGCATTTGTTGCTGTTCTTATTCAATCTGAAGCTCCGATTTTTCAAGAGATGTAAACAACAACAAGACGAGCTCCCCCCCCCCTCGTAAGCTATCTCCTCTTGGCGTCTGTGTTCACCCCAACTCCCCCACCCCCGCGTCCCGTTTTATCCCTGTGACTGTCTGGTGCCAGCCGCCCTTTGCATTGCTTTCCCGTCTCCCTATGTAGGTTGCTTTTCGCTCTCGTACTCCTTTAAATTTTCAATAAATAATATAACGTGGTTTTGGATTGCATGAGGAATTTTTAGGGAACTCGCCCAATAAATTCAACAATGCTTTGACAAAAACTCTAACTAAAACTCATTCATTAGAAATTCTTTCATATGGATTAGTATTATATATTACAATACCGTTCTCTTCATATGTTCCTGCGCAAGAGAAAATAAAATATATCAACAGTTTCAGATAGTTTGTTATTATTCAGTTAGTAATGGATTATCAGGAGTAATGCCAATCATTAATTCAAGTATGTCATCCAGTTTCCTCCTACCTAAAAACTCTAATTCGTCTAGATCAAGTTTGTCATTATTAGCCGCTTTTGCTGTCAGTCCTTCTATATAATCTTCTTTTAGTTTATTTAATCCTTCTACGTATATAATCTTCTTCCAATTTATTAAAGTAGTTTTTGAATTATTAAAGAAGTTTTTGAATTATTAAAGAGTAGTTTTTGAATTATTAAAGTAGTTTTTAAATATTTACGGTTCTCGCGCTACTGCACGCCACGAAGCAAGCGCAGTACCTACACGCATGGCGTCAATCGGTCGGTGCTACGCCTTGTTTTGGGGCGCTCGTGCGCAGTTTTTTTTTTTATCACAGTCGAGTGATAAAAAAAACGTAAACACGATAGGGATTAGAAGATCTGTACGTTATTATGATTATGGACTAGCGGAAATCGTATTCATGAGGGGTAGTTTTTTTAATACGAGACATGATTGTAAGTTCTCGAATTTAGCAATTCAACGTATCCATACTTAGAACCCAAAACTATAAGTAATTGAACTTAAGAAGACTCTGGCAAGAAGGTGCAATGATATCAGTGCGAGAGAAAATTTTATATTTACAAAAGTGCATTACTTACATTAGCTTCTAATTGCTCCAATTTCAATGTGCTGATAAAGAGACTGATGGTTTATTGCGTTCAGTACATCGTAGAAGTAGTGTGCTCATTTGGTGAGTGGCACAAACCGAATTACCGAGTCAAGCCAAATTTTTCTGACCAATTATTATTGTAGTCTCTGTTCGACCCACTGCTCTGCCTACACAGTCTTTTTTTCTATTGGCTATTAATTATTAATATTAATTTACGCAGACATGTTTTCGACAGTACAAGTTTAAAATGTGTCAGTCTGAAGGGAAATCGCCCACAAGATTCCCGTCAAAAATGGCAATTAAGAATTCTTTAGCCTGGGGAATTATTATTGAGGCATTGTCGACATTTTCGAGTAATCTAATAACTATAATAATTAAAGACCCCCTTGTCTTTGTCCAACGAATGGGTGCTACGTCAAGCATAATTAGTTCAAGCATTCCGAAATAGAGCAAAAGAAATATTGTGAAAACTTACTTTTTTTTCTCATGAAATTATATCTTTTCGTTACTTGTGACTTAGGAAGTTAGGACTAAATTCCACTTCTTTCACGCCTTCCGATAATAATTTTTTCTTGAAACCTTGAGACATCAACAATCATTTCTAGCATTAAATATGCAAAGAAAAATCTATAGAAAGAGATAAAGACAAATAAATTCATTAGAACCGAGCAAGTGGGCCTTTATTTAAAGAGAGCAAAAAAAAAGTTATTTTACTTATGAGGCTCGAAATTATAGGAAGAAGTAAACCACACAAGATGAAGAAAATGTCTAACAGAAAGCAACATTAGCAAAAATAAATTTTCGATCAATTAAGGGGATTTAAGGCATAACGCTAAACACGATTTGTGACCTGGCTCGTAGTACCTAGTTTAGGGAAATATTAAAAAAGATGCTAAGTTTTCTACAATTATCAAAAATTCGAATCGAATTTCTGCGTTTAATTCAGATTGCACAATTAGGAATGAACAATCGTCATGAGTGTGAACTTAATGATATATTGAATCTTTATAAATGCTTCGCAGCGAGAAACAGTTTACGTGAAAATAATAAGGTGTGATAAAGAAGGGATTGCGAAGTAAGAAATAATGTGAAGTGGACAAAACTCGTATGTAATCAATCTAGAGAGTAGGTAATAAGATTAACAAAAAAATATACAAATTAGTTACATGGGCATGCACGTTAACAATCTGAAAAAACACTATAAATCTATTATGCGATTGTATTGATTTCAAATTGATAATATTCCTGGGTAAATCTAATAATATCTACATCAATAACTATAACAAACTTAAGACAGTATTTAAGATAATGCATAAGACTCCGTCTTATGCATCATCTTCCAAGACTTCGTAAATGCACAAGACTCCGTCATATGGATTTACAAATGCATATCAATGCACTTACAGCCGTAGATTCAAATACGATATCATGTTTTAAAGAAATCTACATCTCATGATTTCTTCATCTCATGATTTATACATTTTCACCCTAATTCAACGGAATGTTGTCAACATCAAATCACAACAGAAAAGCGAATTTTAAGCATAACACAAACTAACAAGCACCATTTGGTACCATTATTAACATTGGCTGCTTTATTCGGAGTTTTATACATAGTTTTCAATTTAATCTCGTATAACCAAACCAAATTCGGTACGACAATGATAAATTCTTAAAATTTGTGAAGTGTTCGTATTGAAACTGGGTATTTTACCCCGCTATAAATTCCACGGTGGTCCGCATTCAAACTGAGTAACTTTCCTCGGAAAAGAAAATATTTTCATTGTAATGGATCTTTGATTAATTTTAACGACAAAATTATGGTGCAGGCACGGCAGTCGCTTAGCGCAAAAGAACCCAGATTTTTTATCCTTATTTTGTGCGGTAGTACCTTACATACGTACATGATACATAATACGGTCATTAATAAAAAATAGCATTGTAAATACGCTGGAAGTGAATAAAATAAAGTTGCAGTATACAGCTAAATAATAACGCTATGCTAAACTATACTGAGTGCGCTTAAATCAATGAATTCACCATAGCAACAGACACTTTTTCGTTTCAAAATCAAATTCAAATCGTTTAGTCAGACGCCTTACTATACAAGGTATGATAAAACTAAAAGACTAAATCAAAATAAAATTTAGTTTATCACACCATGTGTATCTGAATTCTGACAGTCGTGGATTGACATGGCTATACTATAACTAAAAACAAAAATATCATGATAATAATTATTCTACATGTCGATAAAAATATCAAATCGGTAGAAAAATATATTCATGTTTTTTATTAACCATAAGTTCCAATATATTTTTTTCCCGAAAATTTAGCTTCACAGCGACCAAAAATTAAGCTTAAAATTGTGTTGCCAAATTCAACTCATCCACGCGTCTTAAATTCTGATTCCGTCTCCAGGGAAGTCTTCTTGTAACAATAGCAGACTAATTTATCAAACCTTGAATTGCCACCGGACTTTTCTTAACCGAGGTGTCTTAATGTGTCTGCAACTTTGATACCACCATGAAAAACTTCTCAGTTACAAATGCTAATTCAATTTTTGAGTGTGTCCAAAGCAGACTAATTTCTCAAATCTTCAATTGCCACCAAACCTTTCTTAACCGAGGTAAGATCTCGTGTATCTGTACCGTTGATACCACCATGAAAAACTTCTCAATTACAAATGCTAATTCAGTTTTTGAGTGGGTCCAAGCTGTCCAGAGTGAAGTCCTGATCTGCTGTGCCAAACGACAAGCCTCGACTGAAGCCAGCCTGAGCAGTAACAAGGAATAAGTTTCATGAACTGAAAACCATGGTTGAACTATACAAGGTTGACCCACGAGAAGTTCCGTCTTTCAGTTCGGATTTCTTGTTACGTCACGTAGATCGAGAAACGTAAACAAACCCATCATTCCCATGACGGATTGGTTGACTGGTTTGATCGCATTTCGGTGATTGGTTAATGCCCGTGACGTCACTGAGATCAGTGACGTCACAGGAGAACAACGAACTACATCCGCGAAAATGGGCTTCTGATGGGTCAGCCTTATACTAATTCAACCATGTTGAAAACTACCTAAAAAAAAGAAAATGAACGCGCCATGTCTCAACTATGGAGTTCGTTGCTTTGAAAACAGATTTTAACCCTTATCATGCCATAAATAATCGTAATAATGAGGGTTGCAGGAAAACCTATTCACATTAATTAATCTAAAAAAAACTTGAAGAAAAAGATTTGATATATGCAAGTATCATGAACCAGAAAACATTTTCCCTTTGAAGATAAGAAGAGAACAAATTACAACAAAGAAAACTTTAAAGATAAAACCAAACAGAACTTAACCTATCTGATCGGAGAATAATAAGGCATGAGAAATATGTACGACTTAATCATGTGCCTGCTGGAGTAGAGAAAGTTTGCAATTCTCTTGATGGCGTCCACAGGATAATTAATTCATTAATTTCCCTTATACAATTTTCCAACTCCAAAGTCAATATCAAAACCAATCAGGTTAAATCACTGCCACGGTAACCCGAAAAGGATACTTGACGCATGCAAGACAAATTAAAAAGCTGTCCCTGACGCGCTAAAGACAAACTACGCAAATCATATAACTCAATGTATGGCCAATTATTTTCAATTGATTAGATATTTAATGTATTATTGGCCGAACAAAAAACTTCACTAACCTTCATTTCACTAAATTGCGCAAGAATGTCATCATTGGAAGACTTGATCTGCGGCGACGGTACGGAACTGAACGAATCCGTCACGCTGCCGAAGATGTCGTCCGCCTGCTGGTTGATTAGCTGGGTTTCGTGAGGTCGGGACGGGCGAGGAGGGGGGACTGTAATAAAGCGAATATCATTGTCAAAGTTTATGAAAATTATCCTCTATAAACACAATTTGTAACGCTTTTAATATAATTTGCAGTAAACGTGAAGCGTAAATTGCAATGAAGATGGCCTGGCCTAATCACTATCTATGCAAAGTAGTTGGCAATAATTGGGACGGAGTTTGGAATTAATGTAACCAAGTTTGCAATTGCGGCAACATAATGTGCAATTATGTAAGTGCAGATTGCTATCACAATACGAAGCAACAGTTTCTGTAGTACTTTCTCCCATGAGTTATCTAGATAAATTGCTTCGTCTTTAAGGATAATTGTTTTTACAATGAAGCAATTTTACTTCACTGCTTATGTCTTTCTCAAAATTCAAATGTGGCTTCATAGTAAGTACTAAATACAACAATTCAAGGTGTTTCAAGTAATAATCCTGTTGGTACATGTGCAATTATAGATCGTTTAATTAACAGGTAGAAAATTTGAAGCTAGGTAATGCTTTTACGTATTTTAATGTATACTCGTACCTAAAAAGCGACAAGCCTTGACTGAAGTCGGCCTGAGCAGGAACAACAAGTACCTAACTTATCGTATCTAACCTAGCGTACCTAACCTAGCGTAACTAACCTAGCTTACCTAACCTAGCGTACCTAACCTAGCGTACCTAACCTAGCGTACCTAACCTAGCGTGCCTAACCTAGCGTACCTAACCTAGCGTACCTAACCTAGCGTACCTAACCTAGCCTGCCTAACCTAGCGTACCTAACCTAGACTGCCTAACCTAGCCCTAGCGAAAAAGCAACATATTTTAAATGAGCAGACAGAACACTCACTAAGAGGAGGTGGGGATGATTGTGGGGCAGATCGTTGACTCCCAACTTTGCCCTCGTCCGCCCTGGGGTCAAAGTCGTCCTCGTCATGACGGCGGCCAAACGACGAGCCTCCGTTTATAGTCGCGGTCGAGCCGTTCATGGTTGCCGGTGCCGCCTGGCAAATGCGAGGAAATATTGTAAACTAACCTTTGCTGACAACATGTAAACAATGGCTGCTGACCACTCAATGGGAGTGAATAAGAATTACTGGATATGAATGAGATTAAAACTTTCGAACATTAAAATGAGGTTCAGATTGTAACACTGAAGATTCTGCGAGGTGAGAATGCTGGCGCTAAATATTTACTGAGCTAAATCTTAAACATTTATTGAGGCAACATTGGAACGACTGGAGATTCAATAAAGCGACACGGGAACGACTGGCATTTGAAAAAGCAGGCATAACTTGGAAAAATATGTAAAATTAATTTTTGAAAATCATACGGGGCGGAGAACAAAAGATAACTATCCTTGCTACGGGTCTAGTTTGCCATCATGCTACAAGGGACTAGTGAGAACCAACTAACAGAACTCCATACTAGTTATAATAAACAAATGGCACTTCAATTAATTTGAATTTACTACAGCTTTCACGGGGGGTGTTACAGAAGCCAGCTGGACATAAGCCTAGACAGTATCGGAATTTCGTTAGGGTTTATTTATGGAAGCAAATAGGAAATATCGCACCAGACTGGGTGGATTTCGTTAGGGTTTATTTATGGAAGTAAATAGGAAACATCGCACCAGACCGGTTGGATTTTGTTAGTGATAATTTATGAAAGTAAATAGCGAACATCGCACCAGACTGGTTGGATTTTGTTAGTGATAATTTATGAAAGTAAATAGCGAACNCACAACCTGTCTCTTATACACATCTAGATGTGTATAAGAGACAGGCACCAGACTGGGCGGCAGGTTGGAGGGAGCTCTCGGGTTGAACTCGTCGTCCTCGGCCCGTGGGTTGAAGTCGCTGTCGTCGGTGTCACCGTCGTTGGTGCTGTCGTCCAGGAGGTCGCTGAAGGATTACATCTTGTTAATCAACGGGCTTAACAATATTTCAAATAATTATTTACTTAAGTACATTCGAGAGAGAAAAAATATTTTTCTGGATTAGGAAATAAGCATGTTACACTAATTGATAATTAAATCGAAGAGAAGAGGCTAGCTGGGATTCGGAGAACATCAAGGAAAGAATTCAATCAATAATTTACGCTTATAGAAAAACTTATTAAATCCTTTGGATAAATAAAATGTACATGCTTTTAATTCATTGGTAATAGGGTTATTGTGATTTTACAAGTATGCAAATAATGAAAAATTCTCACTCTAAAGTTTGTTTGGTAGAGCGAGGAGGGAGAGGTGGTATGCCAGACGACAGCGTCGAGCCTGGAGAGCTGCCGTCGGGGTCTGTGGTGCTCTCTCCCCCCAGCTCCGTCCAGTCGTCAACCACCTGAACAAGACATCTAAATTACCGAATAAATTCATTTACACGTGGAGAAAAGTATTCATTTATCAATATTTTGTTCGTAGTATAGATATAGAATAGAATAGAAGTGTCGGCACTGAAGAAATAGGCCCATGGCCTGTTGCCATGGCCTGTTGCCGATTGTACTTGTCGTGACTTGATTCACAAGGGATCCGGCCTTTGGAACCCGACATTACATTACGGCTCACAGGCGTATGTGAGCTTAGATGCATCAAGTATAACATCAAAACAACGTAAACATTACAACGCTCACCATGGATGTTAATAAAACACGACATGAAATAATAAGAGGTGATATAAAATAGTAATCGTTGATCTAATATAATAATCCGTGATCTAAAATAATAACGGATGATACAAAAATAACTAAAATAGTACGGGTAAGTATATGAACTAACGCTAGATCTAAAATAATAACGGATGATACAAAAATAACTAAAAAGTATAAGGACTAACGCTAGATCCGTTGTCGCAGAGGCGCGCGTCTTCGGTTTTGCCGCCGCCGTTGAAGCTCTGCAGCTGCTGCCGCAGGAGAGCGTTCTCGCTCTCAGCCACCTGTACACACGACACTTCGTTACCAAACCGACAAACAATTTGTTTTATATTTCTGAAGAAACAACGACATTTTTAGCGCATTTTCTCATATATGGAAAAATGCACTATCGTGCTCGCCATGTCTGTCTGTCTGNCTGCAGACCCTTACCTCCCCCTCGGTCTGCAGGGCCCTCACCTCCCCCTCGGTCTGCAGACCCCCACCTTGAGTTTAGTCTGCAGGGCGGCCACCTGACGCCGGAGCTCGAGTTCCCGGCCCGAGGTCTCCAGGAAGCGACGGTACGCGAGGTCGAACGCCTGGCCGATGGTCAGCGTGATCTCCTCCGCCTGTCGTCAAAAACACGATAGAAACAATCACGGAAATAAATAAATAACAATCACGAAAAGAATAAGGAAGAATCACGGAAAGAAATAAATAACAACCACGAAAGGATAAAAGAAAAATCACGAAGAGAAATAAAGAGCAATCACGAAAAGAATAACAACCACGAAGGAAATAAAGAACAATCACGAAAATAAATAATGAACAATAATCACGAAGAGAAATAAAGAATAATCACGAAAATAAATAAAGAAAAATCACGAAAAGAAATAGAAAACGATTACCAAAAGAAATAAAGAAAAATCACGAAAAGAAATAAAGAAAAATCACGAAAAGAAAGAAAAATCAAGAAGAGAAATAAAGAACAATCACAAAGAGAAATAAAGAACAATCAAGAAAAGAAATAAAGAACAATCACAAAAGAAAATAAAGAGCAATCACGAAATGAAATAAAGAACAATCACGAAAATAAATAAAAAACAATCACGATGAGAAAAACAATCACGAAGAGAAATAAAGAACAATCACGAAAGAAATAAATAATAATCACGAAAAGAAATAAAGAAACAATCACGAAAATAAATAAAGAACAATCGCAAAAAGGAACAAAGAACAATCACGAAAAGAAATAAAGAACAATCACGAAGAGAAATAAAGAACAATCACGAAAAGAAATGAAGAACAATCACGAAAATAAATAAAAAACAATCACGATGAGAAAAACAATCACGATGAGAAAAACAATCACGAAGAGAAATAAAGAACAATCACGAAAAGAAATAAAGAAACAATCACGAAAATAAATAAAGAACAATCACGAAAAGAATAAAGAACAATCACGAAGAGAAATAGAGAGCAATCACGAAAAGAAATAAAGAAAAATCACGAAAAGAAATAAGAACAATCACGGAAAGAAATAAAGAACAATCACGAAAAGAAATAAGAACAATCACGGAAAGAAATAAAGAAAAGTCACGATTGCTGGTCTGAGTCGCCTTCTTTCGCGATGAAGCTGAAGAACCTCTTCTCAGCCTTGTCGTCTGCACAGTAGCTGATGCGGTGAAGGGGGTACTGGTGTAGATTGCGCTGAAATACGCAAAAAAAATCAGTCCGAATATGTTGCTCGCATGTAAAAATTATATCATTAACAATTTAGTGACGAAATCATTCTTGAATAGTAACAAGATTCGGTACCTTGAACCTTCCACATATTGATAGGAAATTTTGCGTAAAAAGTAACAAATTTTTCGGTAACTTAGTGACGAAATCTTTCTTGAATAGTAACAAGATTCGGTACTTTGAATCTTCCACATATTGATAGGAAATTTTGCGTAAAAAGTAACAAATGTTTCGGTATAAATATCAAAGAGTGAATTGTGCGTCATTTAAGTCGTTCCTATGAGAATTAAATATTTGTAACCTGTTCAGTGATCCACGGAAATGTCATGGTCAGCAAGTGAGAATTTAACCAAAATAAAACCTCGCTCGTCAAATTGCTAACAATGGGATAAAAATGCAGCGTAGGCAGGAAGTGAAGGCGGAGTGGCAACAATAGGCAGCAGAGGATGGCAACAATAGGCACATAGGCACGTAGCCTGCAGTTCTGATAATAGCTGGGCGTGAGTGCGCTACCACAATCCAATACTCCCACAACACAGTGACCACAGTTTAGGTGACAAAAAATAAAAGTGGGTTTCTATGACTGATGATTATATTATACAGCGTCTTTCTTATAATATCTTCAATAATAATAATAAATATCTTTAGTTAGCCATCTAATATCGAGTTCTTTAAAGTGAATAATTGGTGACAAAAAAGTGGGTTTCGATGACTGATGATTAAATTATACAGCGTCTTTCTTATAATATCTTCAATAATAATAATAATAAATATCTTTAGCTAGGCAACTAATCCAACTAATGTCGAGCTCTGTAAAGGGGAAAATGAGCATTTTAACTCTGTTTAAAGAGGAAAATGAGCAACATAATTGTCGAAACTCTAAAAGAAAAATTCGTGCAGTGTACCCACCTTAGTTTTTGGCTCGTGTATGGCGACCCCGTCTACTGAAATCGTGAGCTCCACCTTAGGCGTTCTGACGCCTTCAGCTTTACGCAGCTGTTGGCTGAAGTTCAGTTTCTGAATGGCTTGCTTAACAACGTCGAAGCCCTTGGACTGTTCAACGCTCGTGCTGCCTAAGAACTGAAACACAAGCCAAGCAACATGTTCATTATAACACGTTGACGACGATTGCTTCATCTTGTACTATTATTTCATTTTTTGTACTGTTTTTAAACAGGGTTTCCAGACGGTCATTTTTTCCGGACAAATTCCGTGATTTAGTTTTTCTCAATTGCATTGGCCGGCTAAAATTTATGGTAGGTGTACTTCCTAATTAAATTTTAAATAGTGCAAAAAAGAAAATAAATGGAATTTTTATAGCGGAACCTACAAATAAACTAGTATTTATTGAGTTATCGGCCTTTTTTGTTCTCGGATTTGGCCGATTTTAGGCAACCTGAATTATGTACCACTACGTCCTGGAGAAATATATTTCATGGTACGCATATGTACCACTTCGGAGTCAACGTGTTAAGACGCCGTATTTCTTGAAGATTATTGCGATCGCAATTCAAGAAAGAATCTCAAATTTACGTCCACATCCGATATGGATACAGAGAACAAAACAAGTGAAGTGATCAAATCCAAGCCAGATTCTAAATGAAATAATTATAAATTTGTTTAAGGAGGTACACTATCAAACCTTGAAAGTGTAATACCAATGAGCTCGAATTTTGCATAGCAGCAAGCGTATATGCTGAAACTTTGTGAAAAAATAAAATTATTTGTGATTAAGGACGGTGTAGCGTTATTTGATTTATTTTTATCGTTTATTTATTGCTATTATCATATATTTCTATGCTGTTATTCCATGACATGTGTAGAGACAGCAATGGGACAAATAAACAATTTTTACAACTAGAAACACGAAAATCCTTATTATCAGTCAAATCTACAGTCTCTAAATTATGTTTATGAGTTCTATTACTCGATGTCTAGCCTCGCGTCATAGGAGCCTTGCAGGACTTACATTTTGTAATTTTTGACCTTTGAAAGCTACAGAGCACGCGATAAAAATAGAGAGGTGAATGACCCCCATATGAACGAGTACCGCTCTCACTTGCCTCCGTACATCCACAGGAGAATAAGTCAGTTTCAGGAGTTACTATACTTAATTGTCAACGTTCTCCATTAAACTGTAAGTGCACTATTATACAATCAATGCGAATCTAGATTCGGTTTTTTAACATGAGGTTGTCATTCATGAATGTCTCCAACATAATTATTTAAGGGAATTTATCAGCGAACCTCAGTGACCTCAAACACCGTTCAAAACGTCCAGACAAAATATGTTAATGAAAACACTGAGCTAACGGAGTCTAGATGCGAAATAGCCACGAAGTCTTCATTAGGCATTCAGTCGAGTTTTCACGAATACAAAACCTGACCGCCCATTGAAAAGAACAAGAGCCCATCTCAGCTGAGTGACTTGTAAAGCTTTGATGCTTCTCACGTCCCGTAGCAATGATAACAAGAAACTGGATCCAAGCAGTTTATCTTGTCTTGCACAAGCATGGATAGTAAATTCCTTTAATGATTTACTCTCTCCTGGGATAAGCATTTAGAGCGTCATATTTTGGTCATATTTTGATACTATACTAGTTTACCTATGAAAAAATTACTAAAAATTGGCAGACGTTTTTAGCGACTTACTTTGACGAGGTAGGCGATGTGACCTTTCTGCAGAGCCTCCGCGGGGTGCAGCCAATTTTTGTTGCCTGTACGAGAATACCGAAACATTAAATTTCATCCACTACTTCCCCAGAGAAACAATCAACAATAAATATATGTCAAAAATAGCCGTTTATTCACGAAGAAAGAAGTACGGGACAGTTGAGAAAAAACTACACGTGCATTAAATTGTCAGTCAACTATTTTCAATTATATTTTAAACATCAAGTTAGTTATAAATAAGTAAATACGTTAAACTTAAAGTAATGCGTTGTGAAAGAATCCAAAGTTACTCGGAATTTGCGGCATGTATAAAACGTATAAAAATTATGCGTAATATACAAGGTCATGATCTTGTGATCGATGACCCCAAGCACGATCAGGATAAATCGTTATTATCTCGCTCGTAAACTTTCATGCTGCTGTTTCTTTAAGCATACAAGCAAATCAGAAAGAAACAAATTCATGAAAATTCACGCGCGTATTAAGAGTGCAAGTATTTAACCGATGAGCTTTGAACACGTGTATCGTGTGGCAAGTTATTTGCTGATTGTTCCATAGTATTAACGAATGGTATATAGCTTACTTTAATATATCTTAGTTAGAGAATACTGTATGTTTTATATAGGCTTTCTTTCTTACGACGTTGCAATAGTCAAAGCTTAACCGCTAGACCGATAATTTTACTTTGCATTGAGAGCAAAATATTTCGTTCCTTCTCCATAAAAAGTTTAACATTATTGTTTCATCTTCCATCACAGAGTGTTGGAAGATCCTCAGTTTGTTAATTCTTGCTGTGACTGCAACATCATAATTCATCACAGTATGATAGCTTGAACGCTCTTAACGAGTAACGTACCGGTAGTTATTCGGAAACACTGTAGTTCGAGTTCCAATCAGGTATCTCTCATCACAGTAAATGATCTTAGTTAATCAGAAACACTGTAGTTCGAGTTGCAATCAGGTATATCTCATCACAGTAAATGATCTCCACACAATAAGCATCGTAGTTTGAGCACAACGTATAGGTAGTATGATCTCTACATAGCACCGCCTTTCTCCTCGATATTGCATAACGCGCTTGTCGAGAGCTCAAGCTAGCTTAGATCGTGACCAGTCGCGTAATTCTTGACTAAAATGAGACGTCGGTTAACATCGGCTGAAGAAGTAACTCTCACTCACGTAAACTGTGCGTGTTTCGTCCGAAGTCGGAGTTTAAAGTAGTTAATTACAAACACGTAACGATCCTTTAAGAGCGCATGAGACGTAATTCGTGGTATATTGGCATTCGGCTGATCGCTGAAAAAGTTGAAAACTACTTTCACCAGAGAAATAGGTGAGAAAGTTCGTTAGACACTCTGGTTACATACGAATTAATAGCAGATTATAAGTTACGTACAGTGATACAACCTACGTACAACTCGTACAGCACGAGTCATATCGATTCTCACGGATGTTAGAGTTTGAAATGAACAATAGCACGTTAAATGATTGTAATAATTATTAATTCCACTTGATGGCTCCGATAATGAATTAAAAAAACCTTAGGAAGAAATCGAAAAAGAGAATTCATCGTTTTTCAAAAAATCGTTTAAATAATATAATAAATAAATATAATAATAAAAGTATAATAGTAATGCGTGTAGGGAAGAATGGATGATTAAAAATTCTGTTGAAAAAGTTTTTCTCACGACTCACCACTTGCAGATCTCTTCAGTCCAGTCTTCAGAATAGATGCGGCCATAATAAAGAAATCGTAGAATTAAAGTCACTATTGAAATGGAAAGACAACCGTGGTACCTCTACTTAAAACACTCTAAACACAGGCGAGATTTGGTTCGAGATAATACTCATGTTCTTAAATTGTGAATGTGTTAGGAAAATCAACCAACCATTGTAGGTATTGGTAATTGATTAATCTCACGATAATTATAATTGGTCACACCTGGCATTTCAAGTACTAGTATTCTATGATAACAGAAAGTGTCCCCATATGAATAAATATAACTCAGTACTCACTGCAGTGAGTGACAGAGAGCGCATTTTCTCGTCGACGAAAACGTGGTCACGGACGGACAGACAGACAGACGGACGGACAGGCAGACGGACGGACATGACGAGCACATTAGCGCCTTTTTTTCATACATGAGAAAATGCGCTAAAAAATGACGAAACGCACCTCCTATGTCATTACTTGCGTCGCAATCAATAGTAACACGAATACGGAAATATGCCCCAAACTCGCGAAACGAATGTAACTTCTCAATAAACGATTTAAGCTAAGCAGAAATTGTCAAGGGATTTTTTAGCGCTGACTCCCGCGTACGGTATAGGTGCAAGTCATGTATCATGGATACCAAGCATGCACTCGCACATATCGGCAGGCGTGACCACACAAACCGGTTTCACAGCGCGCAATGTCACCTCCATGCAACTGCGCATCCTTACATAACCGCTTCAACTAACTTTAAAGTTTAATCTTAAAACTTAATACCATAATATAACAATTTATCCGAAAACAGCTTAACAACGAACAAATAACGAAAGATAAAATGCCACCTTCATTTCAAGAATCGTTGCATTTCAAGGACTATGGAAGATATCGTGCACGAAAATTAATTTTTCGCTTGGGACTGAAAACGACCCTCACCAAAACTGTTTGTAGAGACTGTTAATTTCTTGGAATGAAATGTACTAGTACTACCGAGGGCGATTTGTATGATTAATTGGCACATAGATTAAAAAAGAACCCTTCAAACTCGTTTTACATGCTGTGGTTTCTAAAGCTAATCGGGTGCCAAAAAGAAGGCATCACTCTTGACTCGTGGTCAGCTTACCGAACCATGAGCCAGTCGAGTGGACATAAGAAGCAAGGCATTTATAATTAGTAAACAAAGGCTCAGGAAACATCGCGACGCTTATGGAGGCTTGAAGCCTTGACCTTCATGCAGGTATAGCGTGCGATGGACGCGCAGCCTCGGGCAATACTAAATATAATGGTGAATATTAAAACAATCCAAAGCCCTAATGGAGGCACAAATTTACAGTTTTCACTTCCAAATTCCATACCTTACGTTTACGTTTGTTGTTGGGTAAATTTTGACAGTAATTGAGACTTTCGTCGTATAAGATAATGAAGTTGATTAGGAAAATATGTTCGAATAAAAAAAAGGAATTGACTATATATGCACGAAAAAGTAGCATTAAAACTATCAATAGCGACGAAATTTCATAGCTTACTTATACTGGTACACTGATTTTGTTACCATAGCATGAATAAGGAAGTAAAATATCATATGAAAAAAGTATGGTCATCCTGAAAATATGCATGCCGAAACAATATACAAACTGAAAAATGAGTAGTTGAAATAAAACTTGAATCAGAATATAGACTAGAAAAGCTAAAAGGAAAGATTCTGCATACAAAGACCAAGGGACAAATGTAGTGATAACTGCCACTGAAATAAGTAACATTTGATGGCACAACTGAAATAAGCGAAAATAGCAATATATTTATAACAAAAAAGATGAAAGTATCAACAAAGTTTAATGAATAGCATCTCAACCCGGCGTTGACAAGGAAAAATCGATATGATTTGAAAAATTAGTTATTCATATAAGTCAAGTTCCGTTATTCTAAATGCCGTTGCACATTTTCAAGCTGAATTAATGATAAAAGAGAATAAGAAAATAATCCGTTCAAATTAATTCAACCTACAATTCTCGTAAATCCCTTGAAACTATCTCGTTGCGATCTAATAGGAAAATGTATAAGTATTTATTTTAAAAAATCATTTTACTCAAAACAATAATTATAATTTTTCTAGACAGCCTTCCATTTGCCTTTTGCAATGCCGTAGGAACTCAGCATTGAAATTATCGTTCAAATCCAAGAATTATCCCCAGTCGATAAGTATTGTAAATGCACACTCGATAATAAACAATGTATTCACAAACAAACAAACCAAATCTCGATGATATGTAATCGATGGCTATAAAAGTAGAAGTATTGAATGTGTTTTAGATACAAGTAGTGAGTATCGTAGCAGTAGCACTGCAATAAAACAGCCCTTGACCTTCGTTCATAGTGCTGGGGCCAGAGGCTGTCTCTGGCTGGCACCGCGCTACGCGACGTCGCAACACCGCACCCGCTCACCCTGTCCAAGTCACATTCACATACGTAAAATAATGCGTTACCATAAACATTAGGCAAACTAATATCAAATTCTTACCGAAAACTGCCCTTTTCATGGGTAAGCAATTAGAACCGTCTGCGAGAGATGAAACTATAACTGTTTCAGAAGTACTGCATGTACATATATTCGTAGTTGCACGCATAGGAATAATAGAGCATGACATCAGTTAGTCCTATTTGCATTCCACAACTTATTCTTAAAAACAAGTATTCAGTACACACGTATCTTGGGTGCCAATTAGAAAAAATATAACTGGAATTTTCTTTGGATTAAATTTTTTTCATCAAATATCTTGCTCGACGATCTCAATTATGTTTGCACAAGAACGGGGGCTGCGAGAACAGTGATTCTTTTTACCGGACTCGATTCCAAGAAACTTGAACACGGTATTTTATTGTCAAGATTTTAAAGATATTTTCAAGCATGCAGCATTTCAAATTGAAGAATTAAAGCATTAATTTTCGTAAAGTTTGAAATCTTCTCAAAAATACAGGGTCATTCTATATAATGGACCAAATTTAATAAAATCATATTTATTTAGGTATGAATTAAATATAAATAATTTATACACCAATGTAAAGAGAAGGATTCAAAGTTTTTTTTACACATTTTTTACGGTTCAATATGTTTTATTTCTGCTGCACGGCAAACATCTAAACGTTAGCCAAACTCGTCCAACGCGAGTTGTGTAGGACGCATAGGAAATGAAGATCTGGCTCTACACTTCTGGCCACCGAGATCATCTGATCTCACCCCATGTGACTATTTTTATGGGGTTACGTCAAGGAAGCTGTTTACGTTCCGCCTCAACTAGCAACTCTGTTTACGTCCCGCCTCTACCAGCAACTCTG